GTGGCCAAGAAGGCCAATGGCATCCTGGCCTGTATCAGAAATAGTGTGACCAGTAGGAGCAGGGAAGTCATCGTGCCCCTGTACTCGGTGCTGGTGAGGCCGCACCTTGAATACTGTGTCCAGTTTTGGGCCCCTTGCTACAAGAAAGATGTTGCATTGCTGGAACATGTCCAGAGGAGAGCAACCAAGCTGGTGAGGGGTCTGGAACACAAGTCATATGAGGAGTGGCTGAGGGAACTGGGGTTGTTTAGTCTGGAGAAGAGGAGGCTGAGGGGAGACCTTATCGCCCTCTACAACTGCCTGACAGGAGGATGTAGCGAGGTGGGGGTCGGCCTCTTCTCACTGGTAATGGACAATAGGACGAGGGAGAATGGTTTGAAGTTGCGCCAGGGCAGGTTTAGGCTAGACATTAGGAAAAACTTCTTCACCGAAAGGGTTATCAGGCTCTGGAATGGGCTGCCCAGAGAGGTGGTCGAGTCCTCATCCCTGGAGGTATTTAAAAGAAGGATAGATGAGGTGCTTAGGGACATGGTTTAGTGGTGGGATGGCAGGGTTAAGTTAAAGGTTGGACTCGATGATCTTAAAGGTCTTTTCCAACCAAAGTGATTCTATACGCTTGTTTTCTCTTTCTCTTACACCATTCTAAGAAGAAGAGACACTGTCCCACCAGCACATGTTTGGGCATGCTTCAACCTTCAATCTATATGAAGCTTAAGCACTAAGGGTATTCTAAGTTACTGAAAACCTTACGAGGCTGCAGCAACTGGAAGGATGCTCAGGAAAATGTAGTTGCCTGGGAAACTCCTGAAATCAAACTGTGAGGTGGCTTTTGAGCATGGGACTTCTCTGCATTTCCGGGATTGCAGTTTTAGAGTTCACATACCTGTATTCTGCACAGATCTTAATTCAGGTGTCTATCTGTTACTAAGTTGAAGCCTTCAAACTTTCCAGAGTGAAAAGGAAAGGTGATAAGCTGCAGTGAATGCAAGCAATCCTTCAGTATTGCTCACTATCATACTAAGAAACCTGTTGAGAATTCCTATCAAAATATTTGGATTCATGGGTATGTCCCACGTTAGATAAAGATTTAAAGCCTCTTCAGTACTGAAACTAACATTATGCACTAATTTATCCAAAACTGACAGCACAGAGTACAAAATTGCACGTAACTAAAACTGCAAAAATTGGAACATATATTGTGAACCAAGCCACATGAGCACAATTTTATGCTAGAAAAAAGCCCACCAACTAAAATAAATACAATAATAGCATTGTCATTCCTTTCTCTTAAAGGCAGCAGAAATTTACTTTTACAAAAAAATTAGTGCCGTGTTACTTACTGGGCTTGGAATAGAGTCAGGATCAAGCTTCTTCTGCTGTGGACCTGGGAGCTGTGCCAGACCCCCAGGGAAAGCACCAGGATAAGACAGCTGAGATCCTGCCATCTGAGGGCCACCATAGTTTGCTACAGAGTTACAAATGACAAATCATTTAAAGTAGTGAAGTTGCATTACCAATTTCTAACATCAACTTTTTGCCATACAAATCATTCTTACTCAGCTAAATGCAACTTCTTCTTCCCTTCTGTTTTCAGGAAGTAAAGGAAATGGATTACTTTGAATCATGCAGTCTGTGTTTTAAAGGTAAGCATAAGACTAGGTGTGACAACTTTGGCTCCAAAGTTTTCAGGTGTATGTCAAGTAAGATGGTTAGTAGAGATTACCACAGTTACTCAAACCAGGCCATTACATTTGCGAGAGTCTCTCCCCCTAACATCAGTCAATGCAAACTGGCTAGTTAGCTGTCAAAATAACAGTTTTATTCACCTATGTCAGGTGAAATAATTGTATTCAGTTACAATATGTTATTGCTATAGTAAAGCATTTTTGAAAGCTGCTTATGACAGTATTAGAGCAACCTACATCTTTACAGAGTGTAAGAAAAACTCCTTTCTGTAGTATGTTGTGCCTTTACCCATTACTAACCAAATAATTCTGTTCCCGATCCAAATTAATCTCCTTTTTCTTGTTACAGTCTCAACAGTGCTAAAGTTTTGCTCAAAAGTATAGCCTGCCCTGAACATACTGACTGACAATGCAAATCTTTTCATTCTACAAAAAGAGGATTAAATTTTCATTTTTCCAAGTCAGCAGAACATCAAGCATGAATGGTCACAGTTCCACCAGTGATTCTCCACATATGTTTTGTTTTCAGTTACGGAACAAATATCCTTCCTTACCTTGCTGAGGATGATATCCAGGCCCTGGAGGCTGTCCTGAAAGCTGTTGCAGGTTAGGATTTGGGGGGACAGCTCCAGGCCCAGGGATTCCATCTTGTCTGGCCATAGGAGGCAATGATGGTTGAGCACAAAGGCCATTATTTGCTGGTGGAGGAACCTGTGATCCAGGTGGTAAAGGGATTTGCTGCTGGGTTGGTGGTGGTAGCTGTGGACCCTGAAAAGATGCTGGATGCCCAGAAGACATGCGAGAGCTGGGAGTAGTGCCAGGACCTGAGCAAGAAATTATGTCAGCTGAGTCAAAAATGATCACCTACTAACTCTGCGTGGAAGGTGTTCTATTTTTGCTCAATACATTTACAACATATAAGCAATATTGTATCCCGTACTGAAAATGCTGCATTATGGGGATTCTGAATGCCTGTTCACGTAACAAATCTGACCTCGTAGTTTAAATCTGAATGGGTTCAGACATTTAATTTATTTCTTTTGGCACTATTTGCAATAAAATCCTGCAGCTGGGGTGGATGGGGAAAGAGAAAGGGAAGCCAGCCTTTGACAGTCCTTGATTAGAATACAAATAAATCACTACTTGCTTTTGAAATAACATATAATTTCATAATGTGAAACAATGTTCTTCTTGCTTAATAATCAATTTCTCTTACATGGCATATTTTTGTAGTCTGCTATTTACATTTCACCATGACAGGTTCACTGGAAGATAAATCCACTCATTTTATCTGGTTTACAACTCTCTTCTAGTTTTGATGCTAAAAGATGAAACATGGGAATTATTTTGTGCACACTGGTGAGGAACAGTTTGTTGTTTATGAGATCCAGATTCCAATTAGAATTAAGAGGACCCTGGAAATAGGGGATTTTTTGAGACTTAGAATCTTTAAACACTTATTACTTTACAAAACTTTTTTTTTTTGGTCAAATTTCTCCCCCAAGACCTACAGCAAAATAATTTTCAAGAAAGCTAAAAAAAATAACCAAAATTAGGTTTGGAGCAAAAGGACCAGTGTGTTAATATACAAATATTGGAATGTATATTCTGTGAAGACATGTTAACTAAAAAAGAAAACCATTTCACATGCAAAACACAAGCTCACATTCTCAGCTGGTACAAACAAACATCACTCCAGTAGCTTTATAAGCTGTGAATTTCAGCACTCTAAGTTACACCAACTTAGACTTACAACTAAGGAAAAATCAGAAGAACAAAACCCAACACAGAGGCAGAGTTGTAAAGAATCTATGTCTTCAGTGGTCTGAAGGGTCTCTCAACCTTCCAGCGTATAACACTACAAGCAAGAACATTATATTTTACATAATTATTGCTGAAGGCAATATAAAGAAGGCAGAATGCAAAAAGAAAATGTTGCTCTAAATAATATGAGTGTATAAATGAAGTGCTCTAGAGGTGCTGGACCATGCTTCATCCTGTCTAAAAAGGTCTGAGTTAATTGTGCACTTGCAGTTCAGTACATCAAGGTTGAATTCAAGTCCAAACTAATTTTTCTAAGGTGAAGAAGGTGTGAGTTTTCACAAGCAATTGTACAAACAGAGGGTCAGACTACTGGTAATTACACAGGTTTCGTTCAAGTCAAATCACCAACTTGTAAAGTCAGGGTAGGATCAGTAATATAGTATCAGTGCAGCCTGAACTGAAAAGTTCACCTTTACACATATCGTACAAAGCTGTCAACCACTGAAGTGATCCTCACTTAGAAAATTCATCCTCCTAAACAGACTGGCCTCAGCAAAACAAGATGCTAACTAAATTCCACTCCTTTTAAATGAAATGGTAAATTTCACTAGGAAATACTCAGGAAAAGCACATATAAACAAACAGAAAATTAGTGGTGGGAAGTAATTTACATGGAAGAATCACGTGATCACATCTTTACCTCGAGGCTTAGGTTTGAGATGGCTTTAACCTCAAAATAAATGCAAATAAATTCAGATGAAAAACTAAACTATAAGATTTGGACAAAAAAAAGCAAGATAGTTTCAAAACAGAGAGAAACTCTAAAAAGCTGAGAAAAATGAAACCCTGTCTGCATATTATTGCTCATGCCTTGGCTGTTACTGACAAGATCACCAAGTAATTTGAGAAATGACTGATAAGACAGCTGACTTCTACAGAAGGTTCATCAAACATCAATTCAGAATTAATCCAAGAATATTGATTTAAGGAATAGGATGAGATTAAAAAAAAAATAATCTAAGAACTTGAGCAAATGATTGTGGTCAAAGATTTCATTTTCTGTTTATATAGAAGTTCAGTAAGTTTGTAATTATCATAGTCTTAGTAACTTTAACTGAGAAAAAGTCAATCAGATCAGATAAAGCTGATTACCATAGCTGTTTATCTGCATGCTGTTGAGCTGGTTAGCAAGTTGTGCTGTAGGTGAAGTGGATGCAGTATTTGGGTAGGCTGGTTGTGACTGCTGACTGCAGGGAGGATAGGAAGATCCTGTATTGCTTGGAGGTGGAGGGCCTGGAAACCTAAAGGGAAAAATTAGTCCAGTTATGCAAAAAAAAATACATCAATCAATCATAATTCTAGAAGGTCTCATACCTTCTCAAGGGTGGTGCTGAAACAATTAATTAGGACAAACTCTTAGGTGAGTTTGCTCACATTCTGTTGAGAAAACCTATACTTGTATTAAAATAGTCATGAAGCACAGAGAGAACGCACACTTGTTTAACAAGCAAAAGACAGTACATGTTTGTTAGCATACTTGTTAGAAGCAAAGAAGAGTGAATATGCCATGGCAAAGAGATAGTGGTAATAACTATATGAAAGCTTGAAGATTAAGAAACACAAACTTCTGAATGTATCGCATCACTCCCTCCCCTTTCCATGCTTATAAAGGAAAATTCCTTACTGGGGTAGGTGAAGAAGATTAGGAGAAAAATCTGTGAACAAGGGAAATGAAGTGAGGAACTGTTAAGGAGTACCCTGTAGTAGAAGAAAAAAGATGATGCAGGTAGGGAAAAACTGCTTCGTGATTATCAGATAGTGAAAAATGTGAATGCAAGAAAAATAACTAAAGAAAAGAAAGAGGTAACACACATAGAATCACAGAATCACTTTGGTTGAAAAAGACCTTTAAGATCATCGAGTCCAACCTTTAACCTAACCCTGCCATCCCACCACTAAACCCTGTCCCTAAGCACCTCATCTATCCTTCTTTTAAATACCTCCAGGGATGAGGACTCGACCACCTCTCTCGGCAGCCCATTCCAGAGCCTGATAACCCTTTCGGTGAAGAAGTTTTTCCTAATGTCTAGCCTAAACCTGCCCTGGTGCAACTTCAAACCATTCTCCCTCGTCCTATTGTCCGTTACCAGGGAGAAGAGGCCAACCCCCACCTCGCTACATCCTCCTGTCAGGTAGTTGTAGAGGGCAATAAGGTCTCCCCTCAGCCTCTTCTTCTCCAGACTAAACAACCCAACATGTGGCTTATAAAGATATTTTCTACCAGACTATTTCACTCAAGAAAAATAAGATCTCAGGCTATCCCCAGAAGAAGATCTACACTGATTTTCCTATGACCACTTCTAAAACCAAGGAGGGGCCAAGCTGTATCAAGAGAGGCAGAATTCACTTTCCTTGAAATTCTGATGTGGAAGTTTCCTTCCCTCAAATAGCAGCTGTCAGAAATCCAGGAATAAAACCAGATCAGGTAAGAAACAGTAGGTGTGCAGCTGTTAGGGCAATGTCTGGAAGCTAGGAAAGAGCGTCAGTATTTTGCTGGGTTGGTCATGTCAGCTCAACCCTGTTCACCTTGTTTTTACATCTTCACGACAACCACCACTTCTCCCTATGCATTAGTACATTGCCTTTTACAATTATCACCCAGTCTCTTTGGGTCCTCCTTTACACAGTGATATTACACAGACAACAAACAGGCTTCCCTATTTTGATAACTAATAAAACATATACATGGCTTTATTTGAACACAAATAACTATACAACTAATAAAAAGCACAGAAGCAGATTAAGACTTCAACCAACTAAAACAAGAATGTTGTTAAACGGTGTCAAGTTCACTAAACTAAACTAACTTCAGGTACACAAACTAATTTAGCTGCTCCTGGGAGATAAGCAAAATAATTAACACTTACAGAATTAAAAAAAAGTTAAGCATATTGACCCACTATAACCCACAATATAACCACTGTGCAATAAAGCTTGACTATCGCCCCATACAATCATTTTTCCAAGATTTCTTTTTACAGCTTCCACTTGTCCCTATTTTCTCCTTTCCCCACTCCTGTCTCCTTCACTTCTTCCTGTGAGCTCTGAAGGCTGGACAACAGCACTTCAAATAAATGCTTCATAGTCAATCTCAGACCTAAGCACAAGAGCAGCAGTCATCCATCTGAGAATGTATGACAAAACTGGGTTATAGAATGTGTTTAAAGTACCCTATGCAGCCTTGGCTGTGATCCCACAACAATGAAACGAAGACATCCTAACAAGGAAGGGGTGCTGGGGGAGAGGACTACAGATATAGACATATGCACCAGCTGCTACTCAAAACTCACTGGCAACTATTAATCTGTAAATAACAACTTTTTTCTACCTCACAACAAAGGAGAATTAAGACAACAGAAAGAGAACAAAAAAAAATAATGCGACTTCTATATCAAATAGCACTTGTAACACCTTACTGCTGCTTTGAAGCAATGGATCCAAGTTTAAGAAGAAAGAATAATTAAAAATAAAACAAACAATGCATGATAGAGACCTGACTTGCAGTAAAATGGAACTTAATGAGATTACAGATCACACTGTACGATCTGGCAACTTAACCGAACTAGAGGATTCGGTTCAGAAATGGAATAAGTCAGAACTGCTGAAGATAAAAAGGATGCCATACTTAAATGTCAGTGAAGCAGCCGAAGAGAGGTAACAGAGGTCAAATAGCTTAGATCTCGTATTAATTCTTGAAAGTCACCTATGTGGCTGTTGCCCTGGTGTACTGGGCCCATTTTGGAAGTTGGTCTGGCTGAATTGATGTGTACCAGGTGGTGGAGGCCCAACAGGAGCTGAAGATCCAAAAGGCACAGTTGATTTCGACACACCTGCAAAAGATTAAGTACTTTTACATAAGAACCCAGTAAGGAAGCAGAAGATCACTGAGAAATACAAGTGTACGGCCCTGCTCCAGCAATAAGAATACTGGCTTTCAGTAAGAACAAGAGGGACAGTAAGAAAGAAGCAAGAATGAATACACCCTGCATTTCAATTTGGGATACTGGTAATTCTCTGTCACCCAGTTACCTTTATAGGTAGAAGCAAGAGGTCCCTTTGATTTCAGAGACCATGGTCAGAAAGAAAACTTGGAACAACCTTTAAAAAAAACCCAAAAAACCTCCGTATGTAGAACCTGTAAACCTATGCTAAAAATTGTTCTTAATTCAGATCTAGAACAGTGACTGTGAAGAGACTATATTTTATGTAAACAGCAGGGCTGAATAAACACCTCTTCAACCTGTATTTCTTGAATTTTCCTTTAAATTACTCTAGCATCAAAAATTTGTTTGGTACCAAAACTGGTATTTTTCCCAAGTATTCTAATTAGCCAATTACCAGAAGCAGTTCCATCTTCTGATTATATTCAGCATTGGATTAAGGTAACACAACTCCTGCTGTCTTTAATAAAAAGTTTTAGAGAAACTGGGTAAAAATTCTTCTTTTTTCTGTTTTCATGATAACACAAAAATCAAGGACTCCACAGAGTATTTAAAAAAACTCAGTATACTTGGATACTTAGTTCTGTCATTACCCTACTCCACCATCTCAAATACTAAATTTAATATAAATTATAATAATTTAATTGTTATTAAAGATTTTAACAATTTTTTTTAGGTGCTTTAGAGAATACTTCAGACATCTTTACTATTTCAACTAATATCCCCTTGTGACTTCAGGCAAAATATCGAGATGGTCCCTCTTCCCATCTCCTTATCTTGACTATGCATATTGGGTTATTCATAATACACCATTAAGCACTGGTGCTTATTGCTTCCTGGACAATGGAATTCACACACAAAGGTCAGATACCCATCTTACATCAACATGTGAGCATCAGCAACACCACAGACAAGGCTAGTGCAGGATCCTGTTGCAGTAGCAGTGTAAAACTGAGCATTTTGTGCTGACATGAGTAAGAAAAAGATGGAAAATGCCTTCATAAAAAAGCAGCCTGTGAAAACACATTTTGAGCCAATTTCATACCTGGTTGAGGTACTGAGTATGAGGAGTTAGGGTCCCCGTAATGCCCATAATGAAGTGAAGAATTAGGTGGTCCAAAACCTGCAGAAAAGCCTCCTATGCCTGGCTGGGATTGGGAATATGGAGGAGCTGCAACATAGCCTTGTTGACTCATGATGGCAATATTCTCATTCCAAGTATCGGGTTCTCTTTAAGATCTGCAAAATAGAAAGTGACACCTGCTACTCCTCTTCACTCTCTGTGAACTGTGTTCCCAAAAAGACTAAAGACACATCTGAGGGCAAGGACCTTGTTGTCCTTGCTATTACCAGACATCTTTTCCCTAAGCTTTTGGATCTTGATTCTGTTGCTGTTACAGAAAGGGAAAAAAAACCCCAACCCAAACAAACAAAAAACCCAACCCACAACCCCAGAATTGGATTAAAAGCAATCCAGAAAAAGTTTTCTAATGATGAGAGCATTCACAAAACATTTAATTTCTTTGTTGCAGTTAGATTTTGTTAAGCAGGATAAAAGAAGCTTTTAGGAAACTCTGAGGAAAGACTATCCCGATTAATTGCAATCATTTAAGATTAGAACTAGAAGATCTGAAGAATTCCGCATTATTAAACCAGATGATTGTATTTGGCAAGACTAGTTTTCAGATACAGTACCCTTGCCACCAAGGCATTTGAGAAGTTATTGAAGCTTTACACTTTGCAGCATTGATAGTTAGCTTTCTCTTTTCCATGTAAGAGAGTTTTTTATTTTGACTTCAAACTGAATTAAACAAAACCAGAATTCCACTAAGCTTCTTGATGCCCAAATTAAAACTGTTTTGAGAAATTCTGAGGAGCCAAACCCTGAATGAGCACTTACTACTTCTGCAGAGTCCCAAGCACGTAGGTCCGGCATCCCCAAAGAACTAAAGAAACATCATATAAGCTAGCACTTCAGATGTTAAATGTTCCTTTGAAATAGCTTTCCCAACCACCTGCACTTCACATTCTTAGGCTTGAGCCATGGAGTGATATTGGAGCATGCAAACTGCATGAAAGCAAATCAGGAATTGTGCTCCCGAAGCACGCACAAAGGCACCTCAACTCCAGGAACGCACCAAATCCATGCTGCACTGGCACATATCAGTAGAGAAAAGCTATCCCTATCAGAAAACCCATCTCTAGGTTTCTCATATTAAACATACATTTCTGAAAAAAAAAAAAACAAAAAACCAAACCAAAAAACCAAAAACCTGGCCCAGTTCTAATCTTCCACGTCAGACAAGAACCCACTTCGAGCTGGGTACAGGGCCTAGCCCTCCTCACACATTGCCCGTGCAACCCTCTAAACCACGCTTCTCAACATAGCATAAGATTTCTCAGATAAGTAATCTGAAGGAGTTGTCTTCTATTTCTTAGTTAACAAGGTAAACAGGGGAAGAAGAAAAATGTTTAAACGTTAAGGCTTATTGCTGCCAGCTGTGCTTTCTTCCCTCCCCGCCCCCATCAGAAAAGACGTGGCACTGTGAGCTTTTGTTGCTCCAGAAGACAGCAAGTCAGCGCTAGATTACCTAGACACTGGCATAGACATATATATATTTTATATCTATGTAAAGGAAGAGGTTTTCACTTGAGACAGCTGCAACAGCCAACACCTTTAGCTGTAACAGCATCCCGGGGAAATTACTTCCTCCATAGCTTACTCACACACACACAAAAAAAAAAATCTTGCCACGTCAAGCTTCCCACAGACAGCATGAACACGCAGAGGTTGTGCTGAAGAGAGACAAGAACTCTAACCATAAGCAAAATAATATAAGTTTATTGAACACAGTTCCAGATTCTATTTAACATTGAGCGTATTTAATCCCTTCTCAAGATCCCTATACACCAACACCCCATGAAAACAGGTTGGAGGCAACACCCAAAATATCGATAGAATGTGATCACCTAAGATTTTAGCGATCAGGTTCTAAGGATCAGAGGATCTGCTAAACCCAGTTTTACTGCAAGTGTCACTACACGACAAGTTTTTTCTCCCTCTCTTAACACTAGTTTACCTCAAACCCCACAGCCTGAGATACAACACTAATGCAAGCAGTCTCCACGATTTAGTTTACCACTATAACAGAACAGGTTGTCATCTTTTTATGTTTTCAGAGGATTGCTGTACCTATGCAATGCTCTACGGCACCGATATCCCTGTGAAGATGTAAAACTCTACCATGTGCATGCAGAAGTAGGATAACGGAATCAAAACCAGGATCAGCTAATTGCAGGAGGACTATTAACTTCGTATTTCTTCAGAGACACCGTGCTTGGTAACTTGTCATCTAAAAAGAGGTGCTGTCCCTCCCCATGGCGTGCCGCAATCTCAATCTGACAAATAATCTTTGGGATGCTTTTATCTTTTGGATCTTCAAATTTACTCCAGTTCAGCGCAAAACCTGCCATCAGCGAACGTTTCTATCCCCATTAACTGTAAGTCACGGTTAACACCGCAACAGGTCTCACTACCGGGTGGGTGCTACCACCCGGCTCCGCGCAGGACGCGCCCGCCCGCGGTACCGGTGCCT